CCCCAAAACCCCAAAACCCCAAAACCCCAAGATATTTCAATTGTATAATGTCTAGTGAAAGTATTTATAAAATCAAGAAAAGTTTAACATTTAAGTCAAGTATCGATTAAAATATAATATGTTTAAATGTAACATAAAAATTAATTTGCTTTATAATCTACTGTCTCTCTTTACAAGCAATCTTTTGAAGTTTAAAATATTGAGAAAGAAAGTCAAATTACTACGGAAAAATCTCAATTCAAACAATAAATTGGTATTGTTGAAGATATTAAAAATAGACTAAGCAATGTTATGGGGCTTGTTCTAATGATTCTCAGTATTCTACTGATGGTAGCAAATATGCTAGCTTTTAAGGAAATAAGGAGATAAAACATCAATTTCAGTTATATTGAATTACTAATGGTGAGAGGCTTATTCCAAACTATCATTTAAGCTGCCCAAATAAAAATATTGAAAGTATCCCTTTAGATAAGCAAGCAATAATTTAAGCTCTGTATTGGTAGGGCCTTACTCTCTCTAATTTCAATGTAGATGCTATGGTATAGCTTTCAATACTTGAATATGGGAATATTCTCATCATTATAAAATCTAAAGCCTCTCTTTACCTTACTTCTAGGATATGTGATATTAAGAGAATCACTTAGATTACCTGAGATTCTAAGTATACTAATATCTTTCACAGGTGCTTTGATGATAGTTATATCTCATAACCAACAAGCCAATGCTTCTACTGCATATGAGGTTGATTAATAGCAATTTTGGATAGCTGTGATATGTAATATAGGTGCAAGCACTATTGGAGCTCTTGCAATGGTAGTAATACGATCATTAAAAAATGTTCACTATACAATTGTAAATGGCTTCTACGGAGTAGCTCTCCTTGTTATTTCATCATTAATATGGTTAATCTTTAGGTTTCCAAATGAAATAGAATACAATTTTGACACTTATCAAGTATGTTTAATGTCAATGATCGGGATTCTAACTACAGCCTCAAACTAACTTAAGATCGTTGCTTTATCCAAAGATAAGGCAGGAAGAATCGCTTCTCTATAGTTTTTAGAAGTGTTTTTCTCTTACTGTTGTGATTATTTCCTATACTCAATCCAAATTCAGATGCTAGAGATGCTAGGAGCAGTACTAATAGTAGCATGCTCTATAGCTATGTTGATTTTTAAAATTAAACTTTAGTGAACATTAGATAAACAGAAATATCAGGAAAAATTGACAAAAATAATTTTCATTATAAATATTACTAACTTATTAAAATTAATTCTTATTAATATTTAAAGATTGATAAAGTTTAGATATGGATTTATGGGGTTTTGGGGTTTTGGGGTTTTGGGGTTTTGGGG